CCTAATTAATGTCTTATGTTTCTCTTTATCCCTTCAATTCATGCTATATATAGCCCCTTCCTCTCTTACAGTACTAACCATAGTCTGCCTAATTTATCTTTTCATTCATTCTCTTGCAATTGATTATGAGATTTCTAAGGACAGAGAATTAATATCTTTCTCATTTTTATATTACGTCTTTCCTGTTCTCAAGTAGCCCCACCCACTTGCTTTGCTTGTGCAATGTAACATAAAACATGTTTTAATTTTTAAAAGTTGCATTGAGTTGGCTGTATAATTTATTTAAATAGCCAGAAAAGTGATAGACAAACATTGATTTAAGCAAAGATAAAACAATCTATTCAGGGGAAAGTATTTTGGAAATGTAAGAGGTGATCCTTTGTGATGAAAAGCTCCTTTTCCGATATTACTTAACAATTGTATTTTCTTTTTACATTAGCAAAAGGAAAAATATCTCAAACTTTTGATAAGCTGGCAAGGCTGATTTTTATAATGAGCCATGATCAGATTAAAACTATAATACAGAAGAAATTTAAAACAAAATTAGTTTCTGCTAAAAGATTAGATACACATAACGGATAGATATAGATATATGTATAAATGATGTAAGAGCTAATTGGGGATGAAACCAGGTATGGAATTATAACAATCTAGCCTGGGAGAGTCAATCTTCAATTATTCAATAGAGAGATAAAAGGGGACAAAGATTTAAGAAAACTAAACTGCTTGGGTGCTCAAAATTTAGATGGAATTTTTTACTAAAATTGAGAGGCTGTACATAAAACCAGCAAGGAGTTTTTCAAATAATGGGGATAAAAAAATTATTTAGATGGGAAGAAATAATTTAGAAATCAGATTTAGTTCAGTTGTGTCCTAAACACAGAAGTCTCATGTGCTATAGTAGACAAAAAAGCAATAAAATGGCTATCAAAATACTGGAGAGAGAACAGAAAACCTAACATGCCTTAGCTACAAAACCACAACATGTATGTATCTAGATTAGTGGGTGTAATTCTGGTTACAAGAGAGGCATATGATGGTTCAAATGAAAAGCCAGTTTGGGGGCAGGGTTGTTCCACTTTGGATACTCAACCTTTTAATCTTCATGATGAATAAAAATAACCCATCCATATTCCTCTAAAGAAGGGGGAAACGATTTCCTTCTTCATGATTAGTACTGCACTGCCTTACTGTAGAGTGTGTATGTGTATATGTGTATACACACCCACAAACATACAACACATACCTTCCTCAGGACCTGATTCAA